CCCTGCCCCGTGTGCCCTGTCCCCTGTGCCCCGTCCCCTGTGCCCCGTCCCCTGTGCCCTGTCCCCTGTGCCCGCTCCCCATGTGCGCTGCCCCGTGTGCCCTGCCCCGTGTGCCCTGCCCCGTCTGCCCTGTCCCCTGTGCCCTGTCCCCTGTGCCCGCTCCCCATGTGCGCTGCCCCGTGTGCGTTGCCCCACACCCCTGAGCTGGAGAGTTTGAGACTTTGGTCTCAAGGGCTGACGTGGCATTTGTAGGACATGGATAGAAATTTTGGGTCGGGAGGATTTTTTTTTCTTGCTGCCTCATGTAACCTTTTTGCAGTTGCTCGCTATTTTTCAGTGAAGTATCAGCCCTCTCGGTGTGTCTTTTAGCAAGTGCTTTAGCGTGGACACTGCTTTTCACAACGTGAAAAATGTTTTTGGGGCTGACATTTTGCCTTTTTGCTTTCTTCTTCTCTGTTAAAAGGCTCAGTGCCAGGAGGTTAGAAGAGAGTACTGTGCTCATTTATTTCCCAACTTGCTGTCACTTTGTTCCACAACACTAACACCCCAACCACAGGCTTCCAGAAGCTTTACAACAGAGACTAAACAGCCTGGTGTAGTACCTTAATGAGGTGAATTGTTTTCACTGTCGCTCAGGACGTGGACAGGATTTTATGTGAATAAATAATGATGAGCTTTTTCTGTGTGTGATGCTCTACAGTCCTCAAATATCACCAAGAGAGCCACTTTGGCTTTCCTTACTTTTCCCTTCTTCCCTGGGTGCTGGAGGGAAAGAGCACATCCTCTCATCTGGGCAGAGCAAGGGTAAGATGGTGTTATAATGGCAAATAATGGTTACAAATAATGGCAAATACACCAGGCTGGCAGTCTGCCTCCAGCGAGCAGGATGTGATCACAGATGATGGTGGGCAAGTGGAAAATCCTGGCTCTTTGTTGTGCACAAACGGGCAGGAGGCTGAGGAGAAGTGTTGTGCTCCTTAGGAGTGCAGAGTGCAGTCCTCAAATGCGACCAGACAGTGCTGAGAACTGCTCTGCCTTTCTGGGGGAGAATCCTTACCCTTGGAATAATGTGCTCTGGCTTTTCCCTAATTTTTCACTGCTGTGAGAATAGAATAACTTAAAACTAGGTGAAAGCTACAATTTTCCAGGCATTCAGGTGCTAGTCCTTAGGCTGTGAATGACCTCAGGTTTGCTGTAATCCCACCGGTATTAATGCACCAAACCAGAGTCCCCAAATGAGGAAAGTCATTTCTGCCTTTCTTTCATGTCAGAATTACATTTTTGTGTCACGGCACATTGTGTGAGAATTCTTCTCTTTGGGACAGGCTGCTGGAGAGGGAAGGGGTTATCTGCTCCATCAGTCTCTGTCAGCATCACCATCTCCCGTTGTGTGCTGCAGCTTTTTGGGGTGCTGCAGTGTGGTCCTGGGGTCGGGGAGCTGCAGAGCTGCTGCCAGCAGCATCGTGTGCCAGTCTGCTGTCCTGGTACAGGCTTTCCATCCCTGCCTTGGGCTGTCTCTGCTCCTGATGGAGCAGCAAGAGGACACTTCACACCTTTGGGAAGTCAGTTTGGCTTTTGGAACTGCTGCTCTTCCTCTCTTGACAGTAGATGCCTGTGAGAGGTAAATTCTTCATTGAAGTGACTCTTTTAGGTTCCTAAACTTAAATGGCCTGAAATTAGGTCTGGCTCTTCACCTGGTTCAAACACAGCACCTAAAACTTTCAGTGACATCCAGATCCCTTCTCCTGAAGAATTGGTGCAACTCAGCATACAGCTGACACTCGGCCTTCTTCCCAAACTTTACCTTACTCTGGCTTTTCCTTTTTTTGTTTCTCTCCCTCCTCCACCTTGGTTATGGAGTTAAAGAGCAGCTTCTTGGCCACCATGAGTCAGCAGAGCTTCAGCAGCTTTCCCAGGGTTTAAATAATTGCCAAAATACTGGACTAATAAGAGGGAACAGCCACTCTTTACCAAGAGTTATTTTCATTTTTCTGAAAGGGGTGAGACATCAAGACATGAACAGAGAGAGCATCAAATCTATGTTAATGGATTGCCAAATTGAATTTTCTTTACTGAGATCCTTTTTGAATTACACAAGCAGGAAAAGTGCCAGAGTCTGATAAAGAGTTTTTTAAAATTACATTTCCGTATCTTTATACAGCACAATAAGTTCTTCTCCAGTTGTGGAAATAAAGCTCCCAGTACGAAACAAATCCCAGTACGAAACATTCCTTATAAAATTTCAGACTGATCTGGCCATATAAACTGTGACAAACAGAGAATTAAGTTAAAGCTGTGTTTTACATGAGAAGATACCTTTGCCTTGTATCAGCTACACCTTGTCTGTCAGTGCACCCCCAGTTTGTCATAGTGTATATGGCCAGATTCTATTTATTTGTGTAGTCTTGAACACAAAGTTCAAGTCTGTGTTTTGGGGTTTCAGCTTTAAACACAAACTGAGATACCACAGAACCTGAGTTGCTTGTAAGTTTTGAGTTTTACGACTCCATGATCACTCTAATTCTTTTTCCTGGCCTTTTTTTGAGGGGAAGATGGCATAGATCAGGAAATACAGTGGCAAACGTGTTACTAGATATGCCTTAACATCCATCCAGATGAAAAGAGATGTGCTGGGCAGAGCCTGTGATGAACACATAGTTTTCTTTGTCTACACCACAGAGAAATTCAAATTTCATGTTTGGAAATGATGCACTATGCTAAGGTAGTGATAGTCCAGATTTTTCTCTTGGTGTTAAACTTTCAGTGGGTTTTCCATCTGGATATTGTTCTGGATTGATTTCACTGCTATCTGATTTTGCACTAATTTACTTCAATTTAATTTCACATTTGGTTTTGGTTTTTCTTAACGTGGTTAGGTTACAGCGTGTTTTCTTTTTCCATTCATTCCAGCTGAGTTCTCTGTACCTAGATGCAACTTCCCTGTGGAAAGCTTAGTATGAACTGCAGCCAAAATAATAAATGGTGAAACAAGAGGTGGTATTCACTGTGAAAACCTCTTCCTCTACAAAGCTGGCTTGGAATTGAAACTTTTCACAGAGGAAAGGGGAATCAGCAAATTGTGCGTTTTTTAGGATTATGAGAAGGCAGCTGTAATTGCCAGGTACACCTGTTTGCTATGTACACTTGGAAAGAGGGGGTGACAGAATTACCAGTGTCAGTAGGATGGGGGTGAGGGGGCAGGGAAGGGATGCAAACTTCCCAGAGTGCAAGAAACCAGCTGCTAGAGGGATCCATGCAAATCCATCAAAAGCCTTCCCCTGTTCTGTCACATGGCTCACTTTAGCCTTCCTCAGGACATTCTGTGCTTACTCTTTAAAATCCATTTAATGATGATGCTACAGAGGAGAAAAAGGAAAAAGAATTAAAAGGTTTCTGTTCCTTCCATGAGAAATACATTCAGGAATGCAGTCTGAGCTTTTCTACAGGGCATTATGTTCGTAGTGCACAAAGTCTGGAATTCAGACTAGACCAGAACACGGCATTTCTCTGCTCACAGACAGAGCTCTGGGGCCAGGGAGTGCCTTTATGTGTGAATCACACATCCCTTTGGGGACCTGCAGTTAGCAAGTGCCGCGCTGTGTTCTCTTTGGCTTTATGAAGTGACACCGGGTGTCGTTCCCTTGACTTTATTCCCCCATAAAGAAGCCAGGAGCCAGCTGGGTGAGCAGTAGTAGCTTGCTCTGAATGGTACTGTAGTGTGCTATCGCTGTATCGTTAAGAGAGATAAGTCTAATAAAATGTGTCTGCAATTTTTGAGCCGGTGATTAAATGAACCTGCTGTTCCATGAGGATCAGATTAGAGCTGGGGGTGTATAACTCCCAGTGTAAATATCAGAGCGTGGGATGGCAGAGGGAAGCTCAGGATGCAGCA